AAAGAAAATATGCAATCTTCTGAGATTATAATGTACATGTCTGTAAGTGGCTGTAATATACATTTAGGTTATACCATACAAAGATAGTTTTCACAAAAATAGATTGAAATTAGTGTTCCTGAAATGACAAATCAAATATGCCTTAAATTCAAGAAAGACAAAAGATAGCAAATTATTATTAAAAGCACTATACAAATCTCGAGTATGTAAACACGCTAATACTCATAGCTAACGAAGAACAATGGTGACACAAAAGAAGGCTTGACACTATTTGAAATCAGATTTTTTTCTAATCAGTAATAGGACACAGTATTTCCTCTATAATTATGGTTTCCTAGTGTTAGTCAATATCTAAAAATCAAATTCAAAACAAATATATGGTCAATTTTTCATTTTTCAAGAAAAAGTAAAAAAAAAAAAAACCAATGCTGAGAGAGACCAAAAAATACAATTCAGGGAAAAATCAAGCCTATGCAATTTTCAATATAATCACTCAAGAGTTTCCTAATAATAGCATGAAATGTAAGGTTTGAGAATAGTAGTCTGCAAGTGATCTGTTCACTGAAAATTCATTTAATTTGAATGAGTTGCAGCTATTCCTATTAAAATCCAGATATGAATTCTTCTTGGGAAAAGAAAAGTATCACATCTAGCAATGTGCCGCATTCCTGTACTGCAATCAGTGTAAGTCTGCTCCATTAGATGAGGTATATGTTCCAGTTTGACATACTTCCCACTAATGCCTATTAGCTGTTACCACTGGACCTCACACACTCCTCAACCCACCTGACCCCTTCAAAAATCTGAGTATAATATTTAATTTCATCTACTTTATTCACAATGAAAATGCTTTTTAAATAATCGACAGTTAATAAGATCACAGAAAAAAGTCAGAGGATACAGAATGCACAAAATCCTGACACTTAGCTAAAACCTTTAATATTTTTATAAATATACTTTTTCCAAAGCAGACTTACAATATGTTGTTTAAAGTATTTATCAACATTATCACAGTTTTGTATGTCAACAGATACATAATGTAATAAAAATTTAAAATATTAAATGATACGATGTATAAACTTATGCACCCATGTTTTTAAAAAATCAGAGGGGTAAGAAATTCAGATGTTTTTAATCTTGTAGTTTCAAACATCAAATAATTTCCATAGTCACCTTAAAGTAACATTAAGGATGGGAGGAGAGGGCAGGACAAAGATATAGGCAACTAATTATTAAAATATATGGTAAAGAACATGGCATTTGTAATTAGGCAATAAAGAATGCAGTGACTTTACTATTTTTTTTTATTAAAATATCATTGATATACAATCTTAAGTTGGTTTCAAATACACAACACAGTGGTTCAACAGTTATCCATATTATCAAATCCTCACCTCCTCTAGTGAAGCCACTATCCATCAATGTAGTAAAATGTTACAGAATCATTAACTATATTCTCTGTGCTGGACTACCTTCTCCATTACCAACCTATATTGTGATTGTAAATTACTGTGACCCTTAATTCCCTTCCCCCTCCTTCCCACCCTCCCCAACCTCTCCCCCTTGGTAACCACGAGTTCCTTTTCGGTGTCTATGAGTCTACTGCTATTTTGTTCCTTCTGTTTTAATGCAGTGACTTTATTACATTCAAGCAATTATTTTAAAGTTTCATATGGTATAAAGGAGTCAGCATAGTATTGAGTCTTTAAAAAGTAGACAGATTTTTTAAGCTATTAAGATGATGAGCAGGTCTTTGCCTTTTTATGATTCTCTTGGCTAATTCTTGTGTTCTTAAAGATCCAAAATAGAGAACACTCTCTGGGAACTTCACCCTGACTCTAAAGCTTAAATGACCCTTTGCTGAATCTTACTTTCATTATCGCAACTTCTCAAATTCAGTGCCTTTACCCCTATATGTACTGCCTCTCACATGGAATACTGCTAATATGCATCTGTAGTCAGGAAATTTCCCCAGATTCTACCAGTAACCACCCTCTCAACCTATTCCACAACGAAAATAGACTCTACTCCCTAATCTGTCTAATGGAGCTGCATTCTGTCAACAAAGTGTTTTTCTCTTCTTTTAAAAAACAGAATTCACTATAAGAGAGCATCCTTAGATCAGGACCAATAAATGAGGATGGGACGTTCTCATCTGCTAGTTTGATGTAACAGGTGACAACTTTCACACAAGATTCCATCTCTGAGAGCAATTAGACTAAGCTAATTAAAACTATAGCAGATCTTGAAGGTAAGTTTCAAAGAAGGCATTCTAACATTCACACCATCCTCTTTAGTTCAAAGATCCTCATGTAGTTCAAAGATCAAATGAGAAATGAAAATGGACTACTTCAAAAATATTAAAAATACATTTATTAATGTCATATTGCTAATGAATTAAGTACCCACAAATTAACATTATAAGGTGTCAGTAAAAGCAACTATGTGCTTCCCTACAGTGCCCCATCCCTTGGTGTCTGACAGTCACAAATCACTGCATTGGCAGAAACATGATTGAAAACATGATTAACAGTGTTTAAGCGCTTTCTGAATTCTTAAATCCTTGAGAAAACTTAGAAAAGCTGTAATGTTGCCAACTTCAGTGTTAAATAAGGATATATACTTTTTACACATATAATCTGAAAGACTTAAAAATATAGCACAACTATGTTAGTACTAAACTAAAAAGCACATACTAACTGGGAAATCTCTGCTAATTTCTTAATATTGTACCTGCAATTATCCAAGTTCTTATAGTGATATATTTATCCTACTGTCTTCAGTACACCATCCTAGCAACATGTTATTTAATCTAGTTAATTCCTATATAAGGAATTACAACCTTCTGAACTTCGAAGGAACCTTAGAGACAATCCAATCCAATCTTCTGATTTTATATAATAAGATGAAGTGAATGGCTCAAGGTCACAAATGGAAAAAAGCAAGAGTTTTCTGGTTACTCTACAATTTCACTATATACTAGTTTATTCACAAATATTCCAGATAATGGCTTATTTAATTTTACTTCCTACCATATGACCACAATGCAACGATTTAATTATGAATAAACATAAAGTTAAAGTTTATACATAATTAACAGTAGCATAATATAAACAAACATGCTTTATTCATTTTAAAAATGGGGAGGAAAAAAATCAATGAGTTAAGAAATCATTCATATTTTTAAAATAGCCATTGTAATATTGAAAATTGATGTACATATTTTTAAATATGATGTACTTATATTTCAAGAAGAGGTTGGTATTTTAATTAAGCCATCACTCAAATCAAAAAGTGCAAAAGACTTCCTGTCTGGCACTGAAAACTACAAAGTCCCCATTATTTTCTCTGAGTATTTATACTACTACCTGTAGTAAGTTTCAAGACGCAAGATATGCCCTACAGAAATAAAAATACACTGAGTTCTTAAGGAGCCTGTACATGCATTAAGGATAAAAACCATTGACACTTAAATCAAATGAAAAATGAAACTGTGCTAATCTTAAAGCCCACCCCCCTGCCAAAAAAAGTGCAATACTAAAACGTAGCAGAGAGATTTGCAACTCTTCAAATCACTTGCATTAATTATGTGACTTACATAAATATACAAATAATTTATAACCTTACTCAGAGTCCACCAACACTGCAAAACCACAACATAAAGCACCACAAACTAAAGGCCTTTAATACGTCATAATAAACGTATCAAGTGCTCTTCATTTCACTCACAGAACTGCTGAGTTCTTACTGAAAGCTGAATTTATACAGAATTTTAACAAAGCGAAATATTTATTTTAAATCCCGCAGCTGATGATAGCTTGAAATCGAAATATCATTTTATAGATGAAGAAACTAAAGTTCCGAAAGATGGTTGAGCCAGAAACAAATCCAAATTTTCTAATATAGGAAGTTTGCATACTTATATACTTCTGACAACAGGGAAAAGGCAACCCTGACAACAGCCTGCAAAGAGAAAAAACCTAAAAAAAAGCAAACACAATTTCTCTTTTAAAAAGCACAGACTCCTACTACAAAACAAGACCCATTACAATCTCATGGTCCCAATAATTCTGAGTCATAAAGAATATACTAAATAATATAAAACGAACTCTGTTTAAGACAAGTACATAATTTGTTATAAAAATAATTCCAACCCAAATAATTAAAATTTTTAAAGGGAGGATGTTAAAACGGGTAAAGTTTCAGGTACATTAAAAAATACGAACGACAGAAGCAGCCACTCTAGGTATTCTTTTACTTTTCTGGATTTTTATGTCACGATTTCAACAACATTAAACTCTTCGATTTCAACATTAAACTCTTCCCCATCATCGTTACGAACCGGCAAACTACTGGCCTTTCTTTGCCGAGGGGGAATACATGCAGACACACACATTTTCTCCCTACCTGGTTTCAGCTACCCCAAATTTCCAAAACATTTGTTCTGTGGACGTACTGTGATCACTACTGCAAAAACTTGGTCCTGCAGATAAAGTACTGTTGTGGGAAAAAATTGAAATCAATGCACAAAATGGTGCTTTTGTGACAGTCTCAAAATGAGAGTTCTCCATTCCCACAGACCTTCACTTAGCGCCTTAAAAGACTAAAGATGGGCCAAATTTGCACACTTCCCCTAAAACACAAGGAGCTTCCAAGCCATCACCTTCCTCCTAAAGAGTAATTTTCTCCTAAAAGGCCCGCGCTGCTCACATCTCAGAAACATGGGAGAACTTCGAGACAGCTCTGGGATGAGAAGGGAAGAGCTTGGATTTGAGTTCTGGAAGAGTGCTTAACCAAGTGCCACTTAACTATGCACGACAGCCGAGGTCTGTGAGGAAAAAGGTCGGAGCAGGAGGAAACCAGTCTTAAATCTAATCTTAACCCCAGTGGTCCAGGCTCCTAGACGCCACTCTCCAACTCTAATCTGACAGGACTTCTGGTCACGCCTTCCGCGTCCCCACTACTCTTCCCGCCTAGCCCACATCAGTGCTTAGTCTTACGATTTTGAAGCATCAGAAACCACCCCAGTTCCTCGGAGTTCAGGCCGCTGTTGCTGCCGCCATATTACAGCTTGTGCGGCAAAATGCGTCAGGCAGAGACGTATGCGCCCGAGTGGAGAGGGCGGGGCTGGCAGGAGGAGGGCCGGCTCGCAGGCCCCCGAGGCCCGGCTGGACGCCTCCGGCTGCAGCATGCACAGAGGCAAAGCCGCGGCCTCCGGGGGCGCCCTCTGGGCCCGCGCAGCCCCAGGACCTCGAGGCAGCTGACTCGGCCAGGCCTGCCGCGCCGGCTCCGCCCATCTCCTCGGGCCCTTCCCGCTCTCGGGCCCCGGACGCCACCGAAGCAACACGGGCCTCACACCACCTACCCGCACCGCTACAGTCTCCTGTTCCCAGGTCTGGTCCTTGAAGCGCTTCAAATCTACCGCCGCCAGAAAAGGCGCTAAAGCCCACTAACCACCTCCCTCCCCCACAACCCAGGCCCGGCGTGGAGGGACGGCGTCGCGCCGGAAATACGTCACGGGTGGGTTGGCCACCTCTTGGGGTTTCCTTGCTTGCGTCACTTCGGCCCTCCCTAGAATTCTCGGATTGCGGGTCCTGTTAAATACCTAGTTTATAGGTAGTTTAGTGCCTTCTGTGTGAGTTGACTGGGAAGGTTTGAGCCGTCAGAATGCCGTACAGTTCGTGAAATGAAGTGCTTCACTTAATTTATTGATCCTGTGCCAGAGGTATTGGGAAGGAAGCCTGTAGGGAAAAACCCCACCTTCGAGGAGTCATCTTGCAGTCCAGGTAACGCTATGACACAAGTTTTAAAAAATGGAAGTGAACAAACTGCAAGTTGAGGAAAGAGGGAAACTGCATAGGACACTGACGCTCTTTGTTGTTTTTATATTCTCACAGCAAACCTGTGATGTAGGTTATCACCCTTGTAAAGAAATTGAGACTCAAGGAAGATTAAATGACTCCCTCCCAAGTACACTGTTCCAAAATACCAAAGCGAGGCTTTGACTCCAAATCCAGTGCTCTTCAAGGAAAATGAACATATATTGTTATTTAGTTATTAAAGAGGTAAGAGTCCTTAGATAATGTTAGAAATAAATGCCCACTTATTTGAGGGGAGGGGAGCTGGTGGCAATACTTGTGGGGGCTTAGATTTTGTTATTGTATAAAAAGAATAGAAGTTATGTTCATTTAAATTTTTCACTCGTTTGTGTTAGGTAAATGACTTATCAACAACATTTGGGCATGTGGTACATGTAAGGGTGTTGACCAATTTTACATAGCTGTAAAACTGAGAGGCCACCCCCTTGCTGCCCCTTTTAAGCTTGTGCCTTTATTATAGGAGAGCAGCTGCATACTCATCTTTGGACAGTTCAGAGGTTACATGCATTTACACGTTGCACTGAGGGCAATTCTGCAATACCTTAAAAAAGTGACTTATCAAGCACTATATTAAGATAAATTTCTTTGAGTATTGGTTTCTTCGATTTTCAGTTTTTTTTCAGAATGTTTTTATTTAGTTATAATGTACAGATTAACTTCTTAGATTTCTACTTGCTGGTAGAGATCATGTATAAGTAACATTGCTGGTAAATTGGTGTTTTCTCCCTCTTTCTCACCATTCAGTCAGAGACATTTTTGAGACTATATTACAGACTATCATTACATTGCAATGATACCATAATTAGACATTCTGAAGTGTCCAGAGGTAACATTATTAATCTTATACTAGGATATACCATCTTCCTAGAGAAATAGACATATGTGAAGGGACTGAAGAATTATTTAATAGTAAAATATTAATAGGTACTTATTAGATACAGTGTACATTATAAATGGGCAGATTTTAGGAGATTATTGAAATCAGTTTTGAAGCAGCATTACAAATGTCAGTTCAAGGACTGGTGGTTGGTGTTAAGCCATGACAAAGTTTTCACTGCTCTTTTCTTAAAAAGAATTGTTTTTAAAAATTGTTTGTCACCTTTTCTTAGTGTTAAGATATTCTTTTATGAAATGATGGTTATAGAATATGATAGTTGCTTTCTTTCTCTAGATGGCCTTACTTGGACAGGTGAAAAACTGGCATGCTTTGTTGGGTCCCAAATATATTGAAATTTCTTTAGTCTGTGCAACTCCAAATTTCCCAAATTGATTTGACATAGAATCATTTTTTTAAGAAGGAACCTGTTCCAAGTAAAGGGAGTATTGTTACCTCCATCAATACTCTAACCTAAAGAACAAAGGATTTATTTCTGTCTTACATAATAAATCTGATGTGAGTGGGCCAATTCTGAGGGCAGCTCTGCTCCATTTAGTCATTCAGGAACTTGAGTTTCTTCCATCGTGTTATTCCAAGATACTCAAGGGCCTTGACACTGCATGATTAGAGTGTGTTGTCTTGGGTTTTAGCCAGCAGGAAAGGGAAAGACGTAATGTCTTACGGCCTAAAGGAGGAAGCAGCACATTGCCTCTGGCTCTCTCACTCTTATCAATGAGAACTAATCACATAGCCAAATCCAATCAAGGTGCTTGGAAATTTAATATTGGCATGTGTCCAGAAAGAGGAGGAAAAGGTATTTTGGTGGAAAATTAACACTCTGGGCCATATATCCCATTGAAAGATAGTTATTTGCACAATTAATTTGGCTAGTCTACAATGAGCAAACACAAGATTTGCTGTGATGTCACTATTGTTTTGAACTGTATTTAGATTCCAGCACTCTTAGGTAAACTGTTCTTAAGGTCACTTTTAACAGCAGATTCAACGACCAAAAAAAAAAAAAAAAAAAAGTTTTAGAATCGTCCAGGCAGGGGTTTCCAAGGGGAGTCTTCAGTTAGCCCTTGACTTATTTTGCATGTCTTTCTTAAAGGTAGGATTTTTAAATTAAAGTTTAACATATACAAATCTTCCTAAACTTATGATGTGGTTATATCTCAAGAAACCTATTCCATCTTGAAAAATATTGTAAGTTGGAAATGCCTAACCTACCAAACACATAGATTACCTATCTTACCTTAAATGTGCTTAGAACTCTTTTAAGTTAGCCTACAGCTGGGCAAAATCATCTAATACAAATACTATTTTATAATGAAATGTTGAATACCTCATGTAATTTATTGAGTACTGTACTGAAAGTGAAAAGCAGTATGGATGTATGGGTACAGAATGGCTGTATGTGTATTAGCGATCACTCTTGTAATCCTGTGGCTGACTGGGAGCTTTGGCTCACTGCTGCCACCCAGTATCACAAGCGAGTATTGTACCACATAGTGCTAGGCTGGGTAAAGAGCAAAATTTAAAGTTTGAAGTATGGTTTCTTCTGAATGTGTATTGCTTTCATACCTTTGTAGAATTAAAAAATTGTAAGTTGAACCATCATAAGACAGGGAATGTCTGTGCTCATAAATCATAAAAATAGCTTGATACGTTCTACAAAGCGAGCATAGGTGTGACTTCCACCAGATTAAGATGTAGAGCAATATCAGCATTCCCGAGCCTCCCTTATGCCCCTACCAGTAATTCTACCACCCCAATGCCTGAAACCGCTGCCAAAGATAAACCTCTGTGCAGAACTCCGTCAGCGTATATTTGTTCTGTCTGTTTTTGAACCTAATATAAATGGAATTATGCATATGTATTCATTTGTGGTTCAAAATTGTGTTTCTGAGATGATCAGTCTTGCTACATGTAACAATAGTTTGTCCTTTCCAGTTCCTTTATAGTATTCCATTATATGGGTATATTAGTCAGGGTTTTCCAAAGAAATAGAACCAGTAGGATACGTGTTAGAAGGGATTTATTATGAGGCTTGCTCGCATGATTATGAAGGCTGAGGAGCCTTACAGTCTGCTGCTGTCTGTAGGCTAGAGACCCTGGGAAGCTGGTGGTGTAATTCCAGTCCAAGGGCAGGAAAAGATCAATGTCCCAGCTAACAGAGGCAGGCAGGAAGCAAAAGTGATGAATTTTCTCTTCCTGTGCCTTTCTCTTTTACACAGGCCCTCCACAGATTAGATGATGTCCACCCACATTGGGGAGGGCAGTCTATTTTATTGAGTACACCAATTCAAATGATAATTTCATCCAAAAACGCCGTCACAGACAAGTCTAAAAATAATGTTTGATATGGGTAGCCTTTGGCCCAGTCAAGTCACATAAAATTAAACATTACAAGGGATATTGTGCAAGTTATTAATCCATATTAATTCTTTACTTTGATCGATATTTTGCTGTTTTTGAGTTTTACCACTTATGAATAAAAAAGCTTCTGTGAACATTCTTGTATTTAGTATATTGGGACACATATATTTTGCATGTATGTTAGAAATATACCTAGGAAAGAAACTGTGAGATCTTAGAGTATGGATAGGATCAGCTTTGGCAGATACTGCCAAAGAATTTTCTGAAGTGGTTGTATAATACTCTTATTGTATATGCTTTTTGATTCCAGTATTAGTGAGCTTGCTCATCTGCAACTAGCTTAGATAAAATTGGGAATCTGTTTCTTCATGAAACAAAACTATTGGACAGTGTGGTGGCTTTAAAATGTGTTTATAAGTTCTTTAATGTAATTTTTTCTAATGAATAGAATAAGGCAAAGTGACTGTGATTTTGCAGACTAAGTCAGAAAAGGCATTTTTATTTCCTCCTTGCTATGTCTTTTGGTCACTCACTCTAGGGGAAATCAGCTGTGTATATCATGAAGACATTCAAACAGACTATGGAGAAGCCCATCTGGCAAGAATACTCTCTCCTGGTAAAATTCAGAAAGGAACTGAGGCCTCCTACCGATAGCCATGTGAGTGAGCCATTTGGAAGCAGTCCTCCAACTCCAGTCATGCCTACAGATGCCTGCAGTTCTTGTTGACTTCTACCTTCAGTCACATAAGAAACTGAACCAGGACCACTCTGCAAGCCACTTCTGGATTTCTGCCTCACAGAAACTTTAAAATCACTAAGTTTTGGGATGGTTTATTACATAGCAATGAATAAATAATGCAGAGAAGAGACAATGTTATGGAACCTCTCTCTTGTCTTATTATACTTATCTGTTTTTTGGCTTTATTCTCTAGACAGACTTCTTCGAGAGGTTACCTCACATTTTAATAATCTGGGTCT